GTATTTTGAAGGCCCTTGTATTCAAATCCCATCTCCCCATACTTTCAGATCTCTTCTTAACTCTATTCTAAAATGATTCCATTATCATCACTACTTTTTTGAATACCATTCACAGTCCAGTTTTTGTTAGAGGTAGTGGGATTTAATCAAACAAGTAGAGATCTAATAGTCAGAAGACTTTAGCTCTTTATATATGGGAAAACTATTTCATAGATTCTAAAGTGCCACATATGTTAGATATTTTGCTTGCATATCTTGTTTCTTACCCTGGCAGGTCTTAGAAAATAGGTATCATCTCCTCAAATATCTCTTTAATTGTATGGGTATGTTTAAAAATTGATGGGAGCTTGATATCATGATTTACCTTATCAGATTAGGCTTTGATGAGAAAAGAATAGCTTTCTTTTCTAAAGAGAAGAAAAAATACCACTCAAGTCAAACAGAAAGAAAAAGTCCAAAATCTAGAAGGTGAATTCTTCAGGCTTCCCAATTTTAGATAAGGCTGACCTATCTAAAGCCCTTCTTATAACGGTTGCCAGTTAATACCATGAAACACTCAGAAAGAATACACTGTTCTGATTAAGAACTCCCATATATCACTTACAGATTCTCCCCAACTGTTAGCTGAATGCTTTTTCAGGGATGCATCACTTCTTGCTTTTTAGGTAGATCTGAAGTAGCATGTCATCTCCTAATGCCTTTAACCACAGTTCTCTCCGGTACCTGCATACTGGGCTACAAAAGGTATGAAGTATTTCTACTCTTTTACTTATACTGAACAAATGATTGTTCTCTTTTTTGCCCATCTACTCTAAATAAGGAGACCCAAAAGCTTCTTGTATAATTTCCTCTCCATTTCAAAACAGGAAAAAATTCATATTCATCTTTCCTTTCTGATAGTGACACATCTATATACCAATATTGTTTGGATTTTCAACCTCGTGTCTCTAATTGCAAAAGGAAATACTTGGTCTGTTATGAAAGGCAACTGCTGTCAAGTACCTGAATGCAGAGTGTGGTAGGTTGAAGGAAGATGGAGAGTAGGGTTAGCATCAGAAAATGTACATAAAAGCTTGTTTCTAAAAATCAGAACTCTTTATATGCTTTTATTCAGAATGAAAGAATAGGTGGGCGTTTGTACTAGCCCCTACTGCCTTTTCCTCTACACCAGAATTGCCAGATTCAGAAGTCCCAGAGCCGATTTCCATTGTGCCTTCTCTTTTCCCAGTGGCCTCAAACATTCCAAGTTGGAAGAATAGAGTTGGAATAGAACAACCTATTTGAAGAATCAAGTAAGTCAGTGTGGATAAATGATGAAGAGACGATACAGAAGGCACAGGCAGACTAGCTAAAATAGGGAGAGAGAGGGAAAGAGAACAAAATTTTTATTAATAATCTATTTTGTGTCTGAGGTTGGGCACAGTGGCTTATGCCCATAATTCAAGCACTTTGGGGGGCCGAGGCAGGTGGATCACCTGAGACCAGGAGTTCGAGACCAACCTGGCCAACATGGCAAAACCCCATCTCTACTAAAGATACGACAATTAGCTGGGTGCAGTGGTGTACGCCCGTAGTCCCAGCTACTCAGGAGGCTGAGGCAGGAGAATTGCTCCGGGAGGCAGAGGTTGCAGTGAGTTGAGACTGCACCACTGCACTCCAGTCTGGGTGACAGAGCTAGACTCTGCCTCAAAAACAAAAACAATAATCTATTTTGTGTCTGGAACTAGGGGTAAAGCAACTGGGTGGTCAGTGGCAAGAAAACTCCAATTCTGGGAGGGTAAAACTTAGGGTCTCTCTCTTTCAAACAATGTGTGCTAATGTGACATTTATGTGTTCTGTGGCGCTAACCAGGCACATAATAATGATTCACATGTGCTTTAATGTATGTCACATTAATTTATTGTGAATTTTATTTGTAAGCACTATACATTCTACAGATATTTATAGATCGTTTTTATAGTTTATTACTAAAATATCATGGCCTGAAACTTTTTAAAATCTGAAAACTCCTTAAATTTCTTTCTTGGTGAAAGTTAAGTAAAGTATGATCACCAAACCTGAATACTGCAATGGACCCGAAATAAATCACAAATTGCATTGTCTCTTTCTGGTGTGGTAAAGAAATTTTTAGTATTTTCTCTGTCATCTCTTGTAAGATAATCCCCTAATTTTTGTTTAAGCCTAATATCTAATTTACTTACACCTCAGCTATCTTGGCTCATAGGATTCTCAAGAGGAATCTTTACTATTTTCAAAAAACAAACACAACCACAAGGTACCTAATTTATCCTGTGAGTTCTTTTATTGTATGAATGAGCTAAGCAGGGCACTGGGTCTGAGTGAGTTTGCTCCAAACTTTTCTTGGATTTCTAATAAGGTATTTCTAAAATAGGCTTTATGTAGGCTATTTGCTAAATTATTCTTTGTAATTTCTCCCTTATATCCCAATTTATTAAAAATTCCCTTAAAAATAACAAGTCATGGCCAGGTGTGACAGCTAGTCCCTTTAATCCCAGCACTTTGGGAGGCTAAAGTTGGAGGACTGCTTGAGGACAGGAGTTCAATATCAGCCTGGCTAAGACAGAAAGACCCTGTCTTTACCAAAAAATAAAAAATAAAAATAAATAGATGAGTGTAGTGGTGCACACCTGCAGTCCCAGCTACTCGGGAGGTGGAAGCTGATGTGGGAGGATAACTTGATCCCAGGAGCTGGAGGCTGCAGTGAGCCATGATTGTGCCACTGCACTCTAGCCTGGGTGACAGAGCGAGACTGTCTCTTAAAAAAAAAAAAAAAAGAAAAGAAAATCAAAAGGTCATCAAATAGATTTGAGTTGTTTTCTTGTGGACTGGCTACATAAAAGCCATTCATAACTCCTGTTTCTCCCTTGCCTTCTACTTCTAAAAAGGCAGAAAAATTAAAATGGCTTCTCATACTGTACTTTCTTGCTGCTGAGGAGGCCATATGACTCACTTCTGGCCAATGGGATATAAGTAGAAATCCCTGGGAGGAACTTCCAGGAAAGTTTTAAAAAGGACATGGCTGACATGTGCTTTTGGCCAGCTTTGGACCACACCCTTTTCCTTGAAAGGTAAAATCCTAAGGATGCATTAGACATCTTGCAACCATGAGGGCAAAAATCCCATGCTAAGAAAGATGAAGGAGGAAGCTATGTTCCTAGCTTACAGTGTTATACTCCTTTAAAAACTCAAGGCACATTAAAAGTATGACAGGAATTAAGTTTCTTTTATTCTGCATATTCATTATAATTAGTGACTAACTTCACTGAACAAATTTCAACATTAAATACTGTTTTAAACCTAGATTGTATTTACACAAAGATAGCATCCTAAACTCATCAAATAATTTAGCGTAATTGTTTTTAATGATGTTCTAGTTTCTACTCATATTTGTAATGTATTACAAATTATCGAATCCTACTCCCTGATGTTTTATATTGTCTTAAAGAACATAATAATTCTCCTCCCTAGGAATATTAAATTCAGACATTCATAATTTAATGCCTGTAGACACTGTTGCTGACATTTTCAACATCAGATATAATTAATAGCCTAGAATTCTTTCCTCAAAACTACTTATGACATATGCTGAGATCTAAAATAATGACAAGATTAAAGTCTTAACAACTTTTGCTATAAAATATTAGAACTGTCTAATCTCATATCTTTGCAAATATAATAAAGGATATTGAAAACGCCAATAGCAATGGCAAGTCATGACCAATTCAAAGTAAAGGCAAAAATTTAGCTGGACAAAACAATAATGCTTCTTCAGGTAGTTATGTATTTCAAAACAAATTCTAATGCTACTTCCTTCATTCTTCTGAGGAATTGCTTCAAATTGTTTGAGATATAACTTAAAGAAGGTTGGGGCAAGAACAGCCACCAAAGAAAGGGGAAACCTTCCATGAAACCTCTATTTTGACCATGTCATTACCATGCTCAAAATCTTCAACAGCTCCCCACTGCTTTCATAAATCCAAACTCTGTGGGCCAACCATCCTACCTTTCCAGTTTTACTTGTCTCTCCTTCTCCATTCTGATCAAAATTACCCTCTTTCTTCCAAAATAATTTCATACTGCCTAATTTTTATATAAGGATGCTCACAACAGTTAATACATAAATAAATCAGAAACAATTTAAAAGTCAAAGGAATATCCATAAAAATACCACATAGTTATCCATTAAAGACTTAGCAGGATTTCGACTGTTAAACCCTGTAGTACTGGTTACATGCTTCTACTAAAATAATTATTCACTGTTTATCTGAAATTTAGATTTAACTGGGTGTCCTCTATTTTCTCTGGTAAGCCTGCTCCAGTGTCATCTCTTTAGAGTCCTATTATCAACAGATGTAAAGAGTCTCCATTATCATAACTTACAATTTCTCTGTCATATGCCTATTTTCTTCATAGCACCTGTGAATCTTTGGGAATAGCTTCGTTCACTTTTTCTGTTTACCATTTGTTACTGTGTTCTATCTTTACCCTATAAAATGTAGATCACCTCCTCCCTCTTCCAATCCCCACACCACAAATCTATCCCATGTTAGTATCACAAGAATAGGGGCTTTTATTGTCTTGAACAGTTTCTCTTGAATCTAAAACAGTGCCCAGCACAAAGTAAGTGCTCATAAAATATCTGTCCAATGAATGAATAATGAATACTCTGATTTCACATGTACTTGAAGGTGTTTAGTTAAAATTAGTTCCTTCTAATTTTATAATTGAAGCAATCTAAACGTTCTGAAAGGAACGCTAGTCAGATTAGGTTTCTTATGCAGGTAACATGAATACTAACTATAGTTTCATGTGATTTACTTTATCAGTGTAGTTGTATTGTAACAAGACAAATAAATAAGAACTGTTAATAGCTATTTGCACATGACCAAAAATAACTCTGGGAATATAGAAATAGTAATAAACGCATGCTTATAAAATAGAACTTTATACAGATATAAATCACTACGAATCCATTTTACCGTCTTAATAGAACTCCTCTGTTTTTCTTCCCAAACATTACTGCTTAACTCAAGTGTGCAATGAACATTTGCCTCTCTGTCATAGGATCCAAAAATGAGTAACCTGCAGAATAAAACAAAACAAGGGAGAGTATCATACCTGTTATGTTCATTAAAATTTTTATTTCTGATTATTACAACAAGAAACAGTACATTACTCCATTACTATCATAGCTTTAGTAACAGAAAAAAAATTAAGTCAAATATTTTATACACCCTCTAGTGGAAACATGAAGTAAAGCTATATTTGGTGAGATTCCAGGATATGCTGTTTTTCAGTGGCTAAGTCAAACAAACACAAAGTATTATCTACTCATTAGGGAACGAAATTGACCAAATATTTATATGTAGCAGCAAGAGCTATACATCTTCAAAACAGACTGTTGAATTTAAAAACAAACAAGATGCAGAATAATGCTAGTATACCATCAACTCTGTAAAACACACACACACACAAAAGTGCAATATAATTGCTTATAAACACACACACACACACACACACCATCTACTAATGTGACCTCAGGCAAATTATTTAACTTCTCTAAGCTAAGCCCATCTCCTCCTCTGGAAACTCTGGGCAAAAATAGTACTTACCTCTGAGAACTGTTGTGAGTAAAAGGCAATGTACATGAGGCATTTAGCACAGTGCCTAGCAAACACTAAGTGCTCAATAAATGTTATTTCTATTATTGTCTTGAAATCAACTGTCAAGGAATATTGGCATCATGTAATTTTACTATTTAATATTTAGATCTAAAAAAGACATATGAGGTCCAATCATGAGATTATATAATATAGTTTTTAATGCTGAAGAAAAAAGGTTACTCATGTGTCCAACTTCTGTATTATCTATCCTCAAAATCAGAATGTAAATCTGCCAACTTGTTTCAGGAGTAAGTTTGAGAACAGCTTTAACACTAACGAACATGTTGACTGTTACTCTATTACTTTACCTCCCTATGAAGATCATGAGGTAGTAGCGAATACTGAAAAAGTGGATAAAATACATAAGAGAAATTTAAAAAAAACTGTGTCTGCAAGTTAAAGACCTCAAGCAAATCATGTCCATACTCCACAAACTAGACTCACAAACAGAAGCCTGAACAAACTCATGGTGAAAAATCAAACCAAAACAAACAAAAATAAACCCCTAAAATTCTAAGCTCTAAACAGTTCTTAAATACTCTTAAAAGGAACGTTAAACTTAGTGCCTAACAACCTATTATCAAAAAGAAGGCAGTCCAAATACATACAGGATTCTTAAAACATAAAATACTAAGTTTAGGGAAAAAAATGAGAATCTACATTCATTAACGCTCTGCTGCCACCAACTGTTCAAAGAGTAAACTACCTAAGGGCCTTTACTATCATGCAGAGAAAAATGCACCAGCTAGCGTCCCCAAATTCCTGACAGGTATTTATCTTCAGAACTCAGGAATGAAAAAGCAAAATTCTCAGTAATTCTCCCCTGTAATCATAAGTTATTCCATATTTTTCACAGCACTTTAAAAATGCTTTCAGAAAGAGTAATAAAAAATTTAACAAAAATTAACTCAAAATGGGTCACAGACCTGAATATAAAAGCTAAAACTATAAAATCCTTAGAAGAAAACATAAAAGCAAATCTTTTTGACCTTGGACTAGGCAATGGTTTCTTAAATCCAACACCAAAAGCATAAGTACCAAAAGAAAAGTAGATAAATCGGACTTCACCAAAGTTAAAAATTTTTTAAAGTAAATGAAAAGACAACCCACAGAATGGGAGAAAATGTTTGCAAATCCAGTCATTGATAAGGGCCTAGTATCCAGAAAACATATGAATTCTTTACAGCTCAACAATAAAAAGACAAATAATGCAATTTTAAAATGGGCAAGAAATTCGAATAGGCACATCTCCAAAGATGCACAAATGGTCAACAAGCATATGAAAAGATGCTCAACATCATTAGCCATTGAAGAAGGGCAAATCAAAATGACTTTTTATCCACTAGATTGGCTATAATAAAAGAGACAATAACAAGTATTGGTGAGGATATGGAGCAATTAGAATCCTCATACATCATTGATGGGAATGTAAAATGATATAGTCACTTTGGAAAACAATTTGACAGTTACCTAAAAAATTAATACAGAGTTAACACATAGTTCAGTAATTTCACTTCTAGGTGTGTAAGCAAGAGAAATGAAAGCATACATTCACACAACATGCATGCAAATGTTCACAGCAGCACTATTCATACTTAATAGCCAAAAAGTGGAAACAAGCCAAATATCCATCAAATGATGAGTGGGAGAAATAAAATGTGTCATATCCATATAATGAGTATTATTCTACAATAAATGAAAGGAAGTATTAATACATGCTACATACACTATGAATGAACCTTGAAAAAACTCTAAGTGAAATAAGCCAGTCACAAAAGACTGCATATTGTATGATTTCATTCACATAAAATATCTTGAAAAGGCAAATTTATACAGACAGAAAGTTATTTAGGGTTGCAGGAGGAGTACTAGAGGAAAATGGGGATTACTGATAATGGATAAAGAATTTCTCTGAGGGGGATGAAAATATTCTAAAATTAAACTCTGACGGTGGTTATACAGTCCTGTAAATATATTAAAAAAGTTACTTGTATACTTTAAATGGGTGAATTGCATGGTATATTAATTACATCTCAATAAAACAATTTAAAGAAAAAATGAATGATCATAACAATAAATAATGAATCATTTTTCTGTGGAAAAGATGTAATAATAAATGATTGGTTTATTATGGTTATAAGTCAATATATTGTGACAAGATTATAAACAATAAAATGTAAAACTGCTCTTTATTTCATACAGGTATATTTGATAACAGAAAATATAAAAAGGGTACTTTAAAACCAAATAAATTCAAAAAAATTATTAATTGTGAAAAATAACCATATATATTAATAATATTCTTAACAATAAAAATTTAAAGCATATAAAGCATTATTTGCCCTATTCAAACTCTTCATTTTTGTTTTGTGACAAATATCACAGAAAAAGTTTTTGTTTTGAATTGTTATTGATTCATTCAATTGTAATAAGTATTTCCAAAATCATCTCCAGGTTGGGTGCACTAAACAAACATTATGGGAGGCCATTATACTGAGCTCCTGCACTAGATCCTAGTAAGAACAAACCAAATAAGAGGCCCAAACAGACTTATAACTGAATTTGTTGTAGTTTTGTCTTTTGACAGTTCTGGTGGCCCTATGAAGGGACATGAAGGGGATTTCTGATGACCCATGACCCAGAGACCTCTTGAGGAACATGGAAAAGGTGCTGCTGAGCCCCCTTTTGGGTCCTCTGTCTTCCTCAGGAGGCCCTGAAAATTGTTAAGTTTCTCACAAGCTTTGCTTTCTTTTGCCCTGAGTTCCCTGATCTCTGTGGTTTGGGGTTAATCTGTGCTGTGAGAAGGCACTTGACTTTTGGATTTGCAGTAGCTGAGGAGTCACTGGCAAGAGCTGCAGTTTTAAAGGTAACTGACAGTGGTTGAACTAAGTGGTTATTACTGCAGGGGGCACGAACTCTAGTCTTCAGAATGTGCAGTTACGTTGGTTCTATATTCTTCATTTTTCTTGTACACTCAGGTAATAGAGGCCTCAGGTGTCTGGTTCACAGAGAAATGGGAAAATCATTGGCTAGGTTGATCAGTGGAATGTCAGAGCCAAAGCCATAACCTGACTGGTGGACATGGGTGAGGCACGTAAGAGCTATTAGAGCAACCCATCACTAAAAAATAAGACTACCATGAGAAGATAAGCATGGTCAGGGAATGGGTCAGTTAACATAAAGTTGCCCAGCAGCCAGAAGAAAATATCCATGCAATGAAGCACACTGTAGAAGCATTACAGGACTCAAACTCATGGCATATCCCTCTTAGGTTTTTATCTTGGCTCTGGGAGACCCAAGACTCAATGTAAAAATAGGATCCTTAATTTCTGAAGAGCTGAGTACTCGGTCTTCTGGCTACACCCGACTTTCACATGTATGAGTATTAAGCCTGAAAGCTGCATATACTTACAGAAGTGGCAAAATCTTATTAAAGATAATTCAGAATTACAATGGTCATATGAAGACTGCTCCAGAAGAACAAGACCGTTCATCTAAGAAATGTACTTGAATCCCAAGCCTCCCAATTAATTGGTAGAGAGAATGGGATTCTCCTTTTAATTGGTATTCAGAAGCCTTAAAGAAACAACAGGATTCAAAAATAGCTTTTACAAAAGATTCACTGCAAAAAGCTAATGAAAAGCTAAAAATGCAAGATAATCCTCATATACCAAGGACAGTAAGACTGGCCTGACTACTATTGCTCCTCTCTATCCTACTTTGCCTGGATATTAAGTCTACTAACAGTTTGAACTACATTTCTTTTCTGAAAAAGCAGTTAAACAGCTTTTTTATAAAACAAAACCCCCTGAAAATTCCAAAATGATCCCCCAGTAACTTATACCTCCTGGACAAAAGCATAGAGAATTTTCTAAATCCAGGGAAGAACTTCAAAATTTTTCTGAAGAATTCATGGTCTTAATTGGAACCTATGACCTGTTATTACTGACCTCTACCAACTAATACACTTTGTCAAAAGGGACCTGAGGAAGCACAAAAATGAATGTAAGAGGCAGAACAGTATTCTCCTGAGAATGGTATCAGTGGCCCAACAAGTCCTACCTGGATCTACTTACGGGCAAGGCAGAGTCCCCAAAACTGCAAATGACTTTCTGAAAGCCATTCCTAAAGTGTTTCCCCATTTGCACTATGTGGTCTATCGTCCAGACCTGCATGCTAAAGAAATATGAAGCTGTTACTGACTTGAAAATTCACTTGGAAGCCCTTTTGGTAAGGCATTCCAGCTTCCCCCAACTTGATGCAGGCTCATAAAAAAGACAAAAGACAGGCTGGGAGCAGTAGCTCTCACCTGTAATCCCAGCACTTTGGGAGGCCAAGACGGGTGGATCACTTGAGCCCAGGAGTTTGAGACCAGCCTGGCCAACGTGGTGAAACCCTGTCTCTACTAAAAATACAAAA